ACATGATCAGTGTTCAAAAGGCATATAAATTCCACCTAAACCTACTTCAACCCAATTTTTACTTAGTTAGATATAGAGAAGTCACCTCATGGTGTACTCACATCCTAGAATTTGAAAAATAGTGCTGCTTATAAAACTGAATTTGGTGTTAGACTGAAATTCTAATTCTTGATTGCTGTGTCATAGGTTTATGAACATGACCAATGGTACAATTTTGAACCCCAGTTTTCCCAACTTTAAATGGGGCATAAAAATATTCTCCAATTCAGAGAATTGTTCTAAGAATTAAAGGAGCTATGTGCAATACAACCATTTCATAATAAATGTAGTTATATTATTGCTAAGAACTAGGAAAGATTTATGGTTTTAGCTGGTCTAATCTCAGTATTACATAGATGAGAAATACCATGGTCATAAATCTAAGTGACATAGCCAAAGCTTTCTAAACATTCCCATTTAGCAGCACATCCAGATTTTGGACTTCATTTTACTTTAACAAACCAACCAGCTATCTTATTATGGTCAGGGAAAAATGACTTCACCTTCTCAAAAGAATACTGTGGGATACAACTATGATGATTCTAATTGAATTAATTTCTAATCTTTTGTTCTTAGAAAATCATATACCTTAACAGGATTTGCTACATATATTTATTTTTTAATCTTAGAAGTCCTGTCCATCCTAAGGTCTACTACTACCCAGGCTCAGTACAGAAACTAATAGATCATTGTAATGGTTGATAGAAATCAAATCATTCTCCCAAAAAATATTTTTAAAATGTTCACCTATGAATAATGTTAGTGACTATAAAAAAAGAGGATTGTCTATGTTTAATGATAATTTTTTTCCTTTATTTTATTTTATTTTTTTTTAAGTTGTAGATTTACAATTTTTTGTGCTTTGGTTTCAATTATACAATGATCAGATACCCATCCCTCCACCAGTGCCCATTTTCCACCACCATAGATAATATCCCTCCCACCCCCATCCCCCCATCCCCCCTGTCTCTGTTGTTTAATGATAATTTGGCTGTAAGCCAGTCACTATTCGCTGTTAGTTTGACAGATAATACCCTAATCTTTACAATAGGCACCAAAAGTACTATATCTTTATGTCCATAATTAGGTCATCTTAAAACTGCAAGAAACGAAGTTCTCACTGGCTGAGATATCATAATTAAAATTGCTTACTGAGATGGAAACTCTTTCCACTTCTCAAGGCCATTTTCTGGGGAAAGGAACTTCAGCTCTTGTTGCCTCCTTGGGGCTGTCCAGGAAAATATTTTGGTGCCCCCTAGAGGTCATCAGGATTGTGCAACGGTCATATACCAAAGAAGCGGAGGGTGCCAAGGAACCAGGTGCCACCTATCATTCTTGCCTCATTGATCTAGGTTTGTACAGCTTGACCTTCCATACTAAGGTGTCTCAGAGACAAAAGCAGTGGTGCTCAAACTGCAATGAGCCAGTGAACCCCTCAGGGAAGGTGTGTACTAGAGTCTGGATGTGTCACCTCTACTCCCAGCGCTTCCGATTTTGAGTCTAAAGAAGGACCTGGAAATTTACATGTCTAGCTACAATCCCTGGTGCTTTTGTGCTGTTGGTCCATGGAACCCATTCCGAAAACCACCAAGAGTCATCCCACATTTTCCAAAAGCTAACTGAACTCCAATGCCCTTCTTGCAGAAGTGTGATGCCTAGCATTCCCTTGGTTCTTTTGATGAATGTAGACACATCTGAGAATGATAGTTCCAATAAACATAATTCCTTGATCCCAAGGAGTTCCAGAGGATCTGAGTCTACATCTGGATGTAGGAACCAAATCAAGTTCTAGATCAGAGAGCTTAGGTTCTGGTTTTAATCCTCCATTTAATTTGACAAGCATCCTCACTTAAGCATGAGTAAACTGAGTTCCATCAGTATCATACTATGTATATGTGTGTTTGGTGTGTGTGTAAATAATTCCACGCATGCAAAACACACATTTAACACTCGGTCTCATCCCTGGTCTTACATTTGAACATTATCAAATAGTTTTCCACTTCACAGGGACAAATTTTAGGTAAATCTTAATCTACGTGATGTTAAAGTTCCATCTGGGTAATCTCACCAGAAAGAAGTTGTGATTAAAAAATAGAAAGTTCGCATGAAGACCTTTTTCAGTAATAGAAAAAAGTAGCACAAAATCAACTAAAGCCACAAATAATTATTCTTTAGGTTTCATGGATTTGGTTAATGATATTACTGTTGTCTATAGTTTTACTGATTTCACCTTGGTCCATCAGTTCTTTTTTACCTGTGTATCTCCCACTGTATATCACAATTTAGCCAACATCTCTTTTTCCAAATAGTTTGTCATTACATCATGTTTTTTTCCCTGTAAGGATTTTTAAGTATCTAACTTGTTTGCTAAGTTATTATAGCAATTGCCTTGTTTTTGTTTTCCCTAACCATAACTGGACATTTGGATGTTGACTCTGGCGAATCCCACTTTTTCTAAACCCAGGTCAGGATTTATGGAGACCTCATGTGGTTACTAGAGGCAACACAGAAGCTTGTTAAGGCTGGTGTAAGAGTCAAGAGAAACTCAGAACTCACTATGAAACAGCAAAATCCACGAAGACCTAGAATTTATAGCAGTGAACGTTGCAATTTCTCCCCAATCATACTGCATGGATACTAAAGCGCTATAAACTTATTAGAAAAGAAACCCGGCCACATGTACATAACTTTTCCTTTATTAACACAAATGTTGATGACATACAAAAATAAATGCTTTTCAGAAATCAGTGAGTGTTGCCTTTTTCTCTTTCTAAATGGAATCCATTAGATAGTACATTTGCATCAAACTTTTAAGAATATTTCCAAAGGCAAGTTGCTATAAATGCTGTAAAGTGAATCAGAGAAAGCTCAAACTTGAATTCGTGACTTTGATTTTTCATGCTTGCAATGATATTATTTATGAATATCTGGAATGCAGGAAGTGGTTTTGTAATTAAAATACAGAATTCTGGTTCTGTGTGATGGCCAAAGTTGAATATGACTCTTGTTGCTGACAGTTTATCATTGTTTCGATATTTTAAAAAATAAGGTGGTAGAAATGCTTTAACTGCATCAGTTAGTGGTGCAGGCCAAAGAAAATGTACTGGGGTGGGAAAGGACAGGGAGGAAGAACCCTTCAATGATAGATGATAGTTCTTTATCTCTTTATCCTCATAAGAAAATGGGATGATGACCTTTACTTGCTCCTTAAGAAAGCTGTATAGGGGTCCAGAGAGTACAGCTGGTGAAGTTATACAAAGCTGACCTAGGTTCAGTCCTTGGCACTTCTTGTGGTCCCCTGAGCACTGAGTCAGGAGTGATCCCTGAGCACCGCCAGATGTGGCCTCAAAATTAAGAAAAATAGGAGAAAGGAAAGTTGTCTAAGACACCTTTAAACTAAAATCTAGAAGGGTTAATGAGTTCATCAGTGTTAAATGATTTGAAGCCTTCAAAAGGACACAGCAATATAAATTATGGCGTTAAAATGAGGTTTCCTAAGAGTTCCAATCCAATTATCAAAGGGAACTGTATCTTTGGGAGAGATCCTCAAGATGGCTTTAAGTTTTCCAGGTCAGGCAAAGTAACAAGGTGGGTAGAGGTAGTTTTTATGAAAAAACATTTTGTAGGGGGAAAAAACAATAATGTAGACATTTCCGATTGAGTAGTGTATTCTTAAGCTTAAGAGATGGGTCAATTTTTAGGGCACCTACTGTGTGCCAGGAATAACATTTGATGCCCAAAATACAAAAATAAATTGGGCAGATCCTCTTGCTCTCATCATGGGACAACTGAAATAGCCCCCAGTAAAATACCTCACTGTGCGTCTGGAGTTAGACTGGGGGCCAGCCCAACTTGCCCTGTTAAGGGGCAAGAGTCAAGGAAGGAGAGGTGAGGCATTCTAAATTCCAAAACAGATCTGACTCTTACTTGCTATGTCAAATTCAGAGTGTCACCGTCGCCCCCCCCCACCCCACCCTTCTACTCTGAGAGGCGGGGCGGGGGAGGCTCGGCGTGAGAGTGGCAGAAATTGCCAGACACATCACAGTAAAGAGATAAGAAGAAACCACATTTTCTCCCAAAACATACTGGAAGGGAAATTCTATATATACAGAACTTCCCTGAAATAAAGGAAACCTTCTGGTACAACGTGTGTTGCTAGGGATTTATTTATTTCCTTGTTTGCCCTTCCTCCCAGAAGACACACATCACACAGATACTAGCTCCGAGTTGCAGGAGCTCCAAGAGTTGTACCTCCGTCCTTGCGTGCAAAGCGGAAGGGTGCAGGGTGTGATCCCAAAGGGTTAAACGGAAGAGAGGGATGGCTTCGAGAAGGCCGAGGAGATGAACCAACACCATCTCCCAATATGCAAAACTCCGAAGTTCGCAGCCCCTGCCGCCTTCCACGCGCGCGTCTGTGTGCTGGTGCGCGGGGCGCCTGTGTGCGTGCGTGCGCGCGCGCGCAGCCGACTGCGCCCGGGGTTTCTTTGGCTTTGGGAAAATCTGAACCCCCCCAACACTCGCACGCCCTCTCGGCGGTGCCAGACCGCGAGCCCCCCACCCGGCCCCCCACCCCCGCCGAGCAGTCCCCCCTCTCCGGCTCGCGTGGCCGAGGCAGCCTCGGAGGCAACTGGCGAGCGCGCTTTATTTATGAGCCGCGTCCGCAGCCTCCGGCTCCGGGCGACCCCGCCGCCCGCCAAGCGCCGCGCCTGGGTCACCTCCGGGACCCGGGCGCTGGGGGGGCGGGCCTGGGCACCGCCCTCGGCTGCAAACTTTGCCGGAGCGTGGGAGCGAGGACGCGAGCCCGGGCTGCGCGGGAACGCGCCCGCCTCACCTCTCCCGGGCGAGGTGCGGGATCCCAGCGAGCGGCCGGTGGGCGGGGCCGGCCCGCGGGGCGGGGCCGGGGCGGGGCCTGCGCGGAGTATATAAGGCCGGCGCCGGCTTAACTTCTGACTTGGGGTAATTTATTCGGGGCGCGCGCGGACGGCGGCGGCTGGCGGCGGCGGCGGGGGAGGCGGTGGCTGCCGCAGACGGGGCTTAGGGGGAGAAAAGAAAAAGAGAAAGGCGGCGGCGAGTGATGGGAGCGCGGCGGCTCCCGGGCGCAGGCGGGAGCTGCCGAGCGTTCCCGGCACGGCGGGCGTGCTGAGCAGAAAAGGGGGCGTCCGGGGCTCCCCCGCGGGCTCCAGGGCCGCGGGCCGCCTTTTTGTTCGGCTGAGCTGCGCGCTCGGCCGCCCGAGCGGACAACTCCAGTCGCCACAACAACGCACCTTCCCGCAACAGGGCGAGTCTGGGGCGGCCGCGTCTGTCCTATTGTTTAGACACTTGCCAGGAGGAGCTCGGGGGAGCCCGCGGAGCCCTCGGCTCCTCAGCCCGGCTCCCCGCCCGGAGCAGGGGCCGCCCCGGGGAAGCGGCTGGAAAGGAGCCCGGCCGGCCCGGGACCGCGGCCGCCGAGTCAGGTGCAGCGCCGGGAGCCGGGCAGCGGCGGCGCGACGTCGCGGGAGGCTCCCACCGCGGCCGCGGGGGACGGAGTCCGAGCCGGAGAAAAGTTCCTGCACTTGGAGGAGCACGAGCGACGGGGAGAGGGGCGGCGTCTGTCCGAGGCGGCTGGAAGGGCTGCGCCCGCCCAGGTGCCCGCCGGGGTCGCTGCCACCTTTGCCATCAGGTGTCTGCAGGGAAGCTGCGACGCGTCGGCGGGAGCCGCGGGGCTGACCCGCGCGCGGCCGGGGCTGCCGTTCCACGGCCAGCGGGGCTCTGCACGGACTAGCGGATCCCACCGGCGCCAGGACCACCGCGCTGTCCCCCAGGACACCCCGGCACAAACCGGGAGGGGGGCCACCTCCACCTTGGCCTTTGCGCTCCTTCCGGCTGGCCTGCGCCCCCCGCCACTCCGCGCCTGTCCGGCCGCTCAGGTCCTCGACTTGGCCTCTTGGATTTGCTCTGCTTGGGGTCGTGACTCGTGGATATCCCTGCCGCTGGCTGCGGCGGCCCGGCTGCCCTTTTGTCTTTGCTGCGTGACCTCAGGGAAGGCCCTGGTGCGGTGCGTCGCCAAGGACGCCGGAGGGGAGGCGGGATCGCCCAGACATCCTTCGGCGAAGTGCATGTGTGTGTGCGAACCACCCTTGGGCTGTCGCGAGGCTGAGACGGCCGGGACCGGTCTCCGCCGCCGAGGAGCCGCACGCCAGGGAGAGGCCGCGTGAGTGAGACGCGCGGGGTGTCCCGCAGCGCCGCCCCGCGCCCCAGCATCCCACCCCCCGCCCCCGCCCCGGGGCTGCGCGCCCGCCCAGTGCGCCCCCGCGCGCCATGCCCAGTCGCCTGGCGCGCTCCGCTGCTCGGGGTCTACGGGGCTCCGGCGCCTTCTAGCTTCGGAGAAAACACTTTGATCGAGGCCACGTTTCCTGGCGAGCTGCTCGCTTCGCTCGCCTGACACTGCGGAACCGCTTTGGGAGAGGGAGTCGCTGGAATCCGAGCATCCCCCGACCCGAACGGGCGCGACCAACCCTTGCACCTCGGAGCCCCCGGGGACCGCACCCCACCCCCCAACTCCCCATCTCCGCCCGCGGTGACTACCAACTTGATCTGTGGGAGCTCGACGACTCGTGACCTGTTCCTCGGGGCTCTCCTCGCTGCTTCGGCTAGGCCGATCGATCGATCTCCGGGACCTAAAGTTGCCCGCGGAGCGCCCGCCCCGCTGCAGGAGGGCGCGGGGAAGGTGGGAGGCGTGGACCTGCGGGCTCCGCCGCCCGGGCGCGTCCTCCGCTCCCTCGCCGTCTGCTTCGCCGAGCCTTGGCCCGGACGCCCAGGGCTAGCCCCGCGCCAGCCGGTGGGCCGCAGCCCCTGCCCGGATCGCGCGGAGCGGCGAGCCCCGGAGAAGCCCCCGGCGCCAACGAGCCAGGAGGCGGCGCGCGGGGGGAAGATGCCCGGCGCGGGCTGGCCGACGCGGTCCTTGTGGCTGGGCTTGGTGCTGGCCATCCTGAACCAGGGGGCGCCGCAGGCGTGCCCGGCGCAGTGCTCCTGCTCGGGCAGCACGGTGGACTGTCACGGGCTGGCGCTGCGCAGCGTGCCCCGGAATATCCCCCGCAACACCGAGAGACTGTGAGTATCCCCTGCATCACCACCCCCCCCCCCCCGACCTCCCTCGGGCTCGCGCCACCCCAATCCGGAGACCCAGACCGCCCAGCGCCAGTCGGATCTGGGCCGGGCACCTCTCCCTGGTTCTCTGGCACCCGCCCCCCGGGGTGGGGTTCGCCGGGACCGCAAGGGAGGGGGCGGGCTCGGCGCCCGCTCTTGTCCCGACACTGCCGCCCGGGGCGGGCGAGTCGTCCGGGTTGTTGGGGCACCTGGGAGACTGGCGCGGGGAGGGCAGGGTCCCGGGTGCGAGTCCTCGCAGTGGGTCCGGGGAGGCGCGACTTTGTTCCCCAGAGTCCATGCGCGAAGTCACCTTGCGCGGGCACCACCCGCACCCCGGGATCCCCGCTCCTGTCCCGGCGGGGTGGTTGCGGGGGTGTCTTGGAAGCCGGGCTCTCTGGCTTTGTGTGTCTCCCTCCTGGGGACGAAGAGGAGGGCGAGGGGGACCTTGGAGCAACTGAGCGCCCCCCCCCCGAAGGCGCGCACGCCAAGGTCGCGGTGGGAAGATGCCCCAGGACCCAGGCAGGACTTGAGTGCAGACCCCTCGGTCACTGCCCGCCCCCTCGTCTCTGGGGCCGGCGACGCGGCCCCGGGGACCTACCCGTGTGCCCCCCTCCACCCCCGAGTGGGAGAAGTTGGGGCTAGCTCTTTGGGGGTGAGGTCTTCCGCGACCCCAGAGCATTTCCTGCCCGGCCTAACCCACCCCCACACACCTTTCTGGCACTTTCGGCGCCCGCTCACGCGGCGGCTGCGCCCCCTTGCCACCGCCCCCCCCCATCCCCATCCAATCCCTCTTCACGCTCCGGTGCCCTGAAGCCTCCCGCCTCCCCTTGTGTCCCCGAGTCTTCTAATGAAGAAGTCACCGCAGAGCTGGGCTTGACGGCCCACGCGCGCCTGCCGCGGCGCCCCTGGGTCCCCGAGTTTGGGGCCGAGCCCCCGAGACGCGTTCTCTTTGTGATCGCCCGGACCGCTGCCCCGCGCAGCCCCTACGCCCTGGGCGCTGTGGGCGCTGGGGGCCGGGTGGGCGCCGCGGGTGCGGGGCGGCGGGGGCTCCAAGGTAAGGGCGGGGGTGGGGGGGCATCGCCCTTGATCTTGGGGGGATCAGGAGTTGCAGACCCCACACAACTGCACCCACGTGTCCCACAGCGCCGCAGGTCCCGGCCGGCCCCCAGCTTAAAGGCCGGAGTTGAGCTCTTAATCAAACCCGGGCTGGGGAACCCGAGTCTCCGGGCTTTCCCCGGTCCCAACCTGCGCGCTGGGCCCGGGTCAGAACAGTCATCGAGAGTGGGAGAGCGATCTGGATTCCAGTTGCAGCAAATAACCCAGAGTGCAAAACAAAAACAAAAACAAAACGCCCCAAGGACTAAGGAACAACTTGGCGGTACTTTGCACAGCGTGGAGAAGGAAGACAGGGCTGGAGAACTGCGTCCAGTTTGGGCACTGTCATTTCATGCTCTTACAAACTTCCGAGTTGATGCACTTACTTTTAGCTCCCTTCCTGAAAAGGCTGTGCCCCTGGGGTGGGGGTGGAGGAGGGAGCCAGTCAATTCCAGGTTCTTGGAATTTTGGGGGTGGAGAAGACCCCTAGAAGGGAATCTACCTGGGAAGCTAAAAAAGAAAAAAAAATTAGTTGACTTAGTGCTGGGTTATTAAACGTTTATCACTGACCAACGCCATCACGTTCAAGACGGATTCCAAAACGATGGAGTGGAGTCAGGCAAGGAAAAACTCTCAACTTCTAGTCAAAAGGTCGCAAAGCCTGGTTTTGAGTTGAAATGGCAAGATAGATCTTGCCCCTAAAATGCCAGAATAGGAGTGGGGGTGGGGGTGGGGGTGGGTTCCTGCCGCTTGGAGGACACAGTGGTGCTGAAATCTGAACAAAAAGATCAGGGCCTGAAGACCATTTCCACGACTGCCTGGTTAGTGCTTTTCAGAGCAACAGCCAGAGCGGGGCTCCCAGAGCTGCACACGAAGACTTTAGTTTTCAGACAAATCTAGAATTATTGGAAAGTAAACGCCTGGAAATGCAAGGCTTTGAACTGCAGGCCTTTTGATGGTACTCTGCGTTTTTCCTTCTCCTTAGGAAGTTTGGCCACCATGCCACCTAACGATAAGGTTCTGCATTTTAAAAATAGCTTCCAGGGTAGAATTAGAAAATCGTTCCTGTTGACTGCCTAAAAGGGAACTTTTGCGGAGGTGGGAGTGTCTAACTATAATAGTTAAGCAGCAGAATACCTGGGAAATTATGTACACTTCATACAAAAGGGAAAAATGGAAAGCACCCCCATACACTTACAAAATGAGTTTCCTTGATAACACAATCTCTTTTTTCCCCCTGTCACATGCCCTCAAGGATAGGCTCTGTAAACTTATTAAGACTCATTAAAATTTTTTTCAAGGGTTATATATACCCTTCTGTCTTTTACTGTGTAAACTACTTTAGTAATTGGAGCTGAGGTTTAATCTTAATGTTTTAAGTTTGCCTTTTTCTTTGTTTAACCACATATTGATGGAAATGAAATGGAACTTTCATTTTCTTTCTTTCTCTTAGGGATTTGAATGGAAATAACATAACACGGATTACCAAGACAGACTTTGCTGGCCTTAGACACTTAAGAGTTCTGTAAGTATGTTTTTTTGGTGCTTTGAAGACTTTTGTTTTTTATAGTTGTGTATTTTTTAATCCTTACTGGTTCAGGTTTTAAAACGGTCTCAATGACATATGCACAGAAAATGTTAAAGTCTTAGTTTCCTTTCTTTTCATGTTTATCATTCTACTATAACTTTTCATCAAAATGTAGGCTTTTATTTTGAGCTTGGATGGATGCCATAGAAATCGTATTAACAAAAATGATCTCAAATGTTTGCTATACGATGGCCTAAGTGCCTTATGCATATAAAAATGTAGAATAGTTGCTTTTATGATATGAATAAGTAATGTGAGCTATTTGATATACTTTTAGGGTTTGAAATTAACTAGGAAGAATTTAAGTGGGTCTGTACTTTATTATTTCTCAGATAAAAAGTTCAAAATTTCCAGCAAACAACAATTAGCTGTAAATGTTAACATTAAAATCCAGCAGTCCCTTGCAGTCTTGGGAGGAAAAGGTTTCTCCCTAAAATATATTGTTCATATTTTAGTTTACTTCTCATGTTTAACATCTTTGTAAATTTGGTTAAATTGTAGCTGTTTTATTCTTTAGTGGATTAGATTAGTGGCAAGCAAACCATCATTTGAGATTCAGTGTAATGTAAAATTGTTTTACTCACAGATTTGTAAATATTTACATCACAGTGAGCATATGCTTTTGACCACTTTGTGCTAAATGTCTGTCTTTTAAAAGAACACATTCTGGTCATAACTTTTCCACATTCTTGTATATATCTATAGGCGAATTGAAGGATGTGATGATGGTCTCTATATTGATCGGTTTAGTTTAAAACAGTGAAAAATTAGTATATTAAAAAACAAAACAAAACAAAAACACCCAAGAGAGCTGTGTGTATGTCTTGTTCCTCACGAAAGCCTCTAGTTGAAAGTTCAGGGTTTTAACTAGTGAACTTTATTGGGGGGGGGCGGGGGCGGGAATGCATGCATGCTTTTTAAGAAAGTTTTGTGATGTGAACACTTTTTCTTTCCTGAACTCTCTTTGATATTGAGTTTCCAACCAGAGCAGTCCTTTGCTTTATGAAAGATAGTAGGTTACACATTTTTCACTTGCTGAATTAAAACTTAATCAGATGGTGAGTGGTAACATTAAGACTCCTGATATACTTTGCATTTCAGTCAGCTTATGGAGAATAAGATTAGCACCATTGAAAGAGGAGCATTCCAGGATCTTAAAGAACTGGAGAGACTGTAAGTATTTTCAATTCCTAACTTATGACGACATAACTGTATTTTTTTTTAAAAAATTGTATTACAAGGATCATGACTTCGGTTTCCTGTCTCACTCTTCCAAAGGATATAAAGGGGAAAGTGAATGAACAGTTTTCAAACTACTTTATCATTGAAAATCATAGAGATTTTACATAGACAATACTAACTTGTGTAAAGCTAAAATAAAGACTTCTGGTGACATTTCCTCATTTGAATAAGCATTGCTTTGGTACTTAGA